TCTAAAGAGATATTGTCCTTAGGGGTATGAAGAGAAAACAACAGTAGCATAAAAGATAGTAGGGGTAAGAGTTCGAAACGATCCATAGACAGGCTCTAGAAGGCGCTCTTTGAGGAGGAGGAGGAGGAGAAGAAGCACGCGGTGAAAGCTCTGATGAGGAAGGGAACTGAAACGGCGGAGAGTCGGCAGCAGAAACGAGGGCGCTCTGGGGGTGAGGAAGAAAGGTGTAGATAATAATAATAAAAGTAAATAATAATAGCCCTCTGGGGAGGGACTTCTCTCATTGAGTCTTCCATCGTTCAGCTCCGGTAGTCTCTATCACCATTTATTTAGTAGAGTACACCCACACATTGGCCTAGTGAAAATAGGGTTGTCGGGGCGGTAAGCTTGCGAGCCATGGGGCCCCTTGCAGTGCCCAAACTCGCTACCGTGCCTTCTTCACACCTCTCTAAACGATTCCCTAAAAATCCTTAAAGCTTAGGATACGTACATACGTTCAAACAAGGCTCAATTTCTAGTCGTTCTATCTTGGATTTGGCGCAACCAAATCTGGATAGATGAATCGACGTATGGAGGTGTCATTTCCAGTTGTTTCGTTAGCGTCCTTTTGGACACAGCGTACGGATTACCTCGTTTTGCATCTAATGAAGATAAAAGACATTTAGAGAGCATTTTCGATTGGATACATTAGCACTCAGACTGGCTTGACAGCTGGTATTACGTGACCGCGACACGAGAATATTAGGCTTAACCTTAAAAGAACTTTGGGAACAAAGGGCCACTATCATCCCACGTGAGATTTGGTGACTGGCAGTTGCGGCGTCGTCGTACGATCTAATCTGTTGCACAATGATATCTCTTAGTCAGAAGTTATTATTCCTAGGCCGGTATACATTGTTATGCTTAGCCCCTGACCGCTATCTGAGGATATTCTATGCATTTATGTATGAGTATCGACGGGAGTAGATTTTTCTTATACACACACTTGCGACATGGAGAACGTACACCCACATGAACGATCAGTGCAAGCCTATTCTGAGATGGGGAGTACAAGCGTCTCACAGCAGGTAGTCGCGTTGTATATTGTATTGATGGATGGCGCAATTTGGTTTGATGGATGTACTGCCAGTTTTCGCTTAGATTTCCAATTATTCTCATTCTTTCCCGTCCTCTATAGGTCGCGTCACGACCGAAAGCAAGCGGACGTATATATGTTCCTATACAAGGGTTTTGAAAGGCGAAGAGCTCGATAAGAACCAAGGCAGATATGAGTAACAACCAAATCGAACTGTCAACACCAGAGAAAAGAGGAATCATATGGAGATGATCTCTAAGGAGGATCTCGATGATCCTAATAACGGAAAATATAGTAACGGTAGCAATAAACAGTCGAAGTGGTGGAATAAACAAAACTGCTATGTCTTGGAGGGTTTCGTATCTATATTTAATAGTCCGAACTTCGGACTATTAAATTTTTAAAGTTTTGTATCTATGCATGCACAATTCAGGATGCTTCGATATCCTCAATAGAAAAAAAATCATGACAAATATGCTGCTGGGCTCAGCTTTATTTTCATAGAAAGCATTTTAGTCTACGTGTAAGGCACAGTCTTGTGTAAATAGCCTCTCAGGCTTGTCACAAAAACCTCATCAAGATCATACCAAACTGCCATAATAAGCAATCTCTCACTGTAAGACAGGCTTACTTTTATTGCTCTGATAGTTTCATGTATTACAATTGCGTTAATTCAGCCATTCGTTCCTAACACGAATTTAAATAAACAAATTACCGTACTTGATATTTCTTGACAATATTTATAAAATCCCTGCTTTATTAGATGCATTTAAATTTCTTCCGATTTAAACGAATTCACTGGAGGCATTGGAACGCCTTGTATACATGAGTCATCCGTACTAACGGTTTTAGCGATTTTTTTGTATGCTTGAGTTGACAAAAGGACGTATAACGAGAACGGCATATCCGGAAAAAATCTGTTTAATTCTGAAAATATTGAATAGTTTATTGAGATTCCAATGTAACACAGAGGACACTTTTATTAGCAACAATTAGGGATCTATAACAGCCTGTAAGGCCAAATGCAAAGGTTTTTTAGTTTTTTCGAAAGAAAATTTAATGTTCTATGCCACTAAGGCCAAAAATCGTTGACAATTTTTGAAAAATATCCATATTATTGCATCGCTTATTATGTTTACATGGAACTTAGTGTTTTTGTTTTTCTTTTTTCGTCCGCAGATAGCGAGAGAATTGCAAGGGAATAAAAAATAAAGCGGCAGTGCCATAAAGACTGCTTTGAAAGAGAGTTATGGGCCGTCTGCTACAAAGTTACGGGACGACTAGGAAACGATACTGTCAGTCTACGCAAGATAATGGAATCAAAGTAGCAATATAATCTGCCTGGCGAAGCAGGGTAATGGGAGAATGCACTAACCTGACAACACGACTCGGACAAAAATATCTGATTTACTGATCCATCTTAATAGAAAAACTTAACGAACAGATAAGTCTAACTGTAATCAAGTACCAGGAATAGAATAACATCACGCTAGAGCAACTGCAACGAGTTAGGCTTTGGAACTCGAACTCAGACCGAGTTGGACCGCATCTATAATAGTTCGGTGGTTGGAGTTTAGTTTAGGCTGGAAAAAGGCGATAGGGTAATATTGGGTGGAGTCCAGTTTGAATGCTTGGTAGAAATCATGTAGGTGTGTGTGAAAATACATGATAGAAACGGCCAGACATTGTACGTATGTAGTACTGGTCATTACTGAATAGGCCAAATCACAACAGGCCAAGACATTATGGCTTAATATTACAGTTATATTCTAACTTACACACAAAATAAAATCCATATATAACATACCAACATAAGATTTTCCATCTATGCACATGATTATCGCCGATACAATTCAAAATCGTATAAACACGCGTAGTAAAACAATTGGTGCAAAGGTATTATTTTTGCAATCCTTGTAACTTGTCATTTCTGCACGACTCGTTGCAGGTTGATTACTATATGTAGCAAGTATCGTTTACAGGTATCCAGCGTTGCAAGTACGTTATCTAGCGTAATCGTCTCGTGGCTTAAGGAATTTGTATGAATCATTTGCGTCCTTCTGTTCGTTTCCGTCTCAACACATACTGAACGTTTCCTATTTTATCCTTTTTCCGTCTCCCTCACAACAGTGAGTAGCTCTATTTGCGCTCAAAAGACTTCAGCGCCGCTTCTTGTGAGCCTGTGAATTTATAGCTCAATTTGAGGCTTTTTGACTTGCTGCTGTTGGTACCACCGTTACTTTTTCTACTGCTGCGTCTGGTCGAGTACTGCCATTACTACGACTCCTACTTCAGGCCTATTTCAACTCCTGCCGACCGCATCTCTGCAGCCGCGACCGTCCTCTTCGCCATCGGCAGCCGCGGCGACAGTAGCAGCAGCGCCAACTCAACGGGTTAGTACTGCCTGGTCGACGCTTTTGCCAAAGGGTGGAAGGCAACCTCCGCGTACCGACTCCCGGAGGAATACCACCTTTAGGCTCCTGGTACGATGCAACGAGCGACCCATCTGAGTAGGCATCTGGATACTAAACGCGCGCACACACGTTGAGCAATGAGGGTTGCCTAAGCAAGCAAATCAACCCTATCCTGCGCGTGTACGCGTGTCAGGTGTAGTGGCGGCGAGCGGACAGTCGGTTTTACCTAGCGTTGGAAGCCAGAACCTACCGAGTGAGCAAAGGAAGTAACCTAGTCGGCGTCATTGCGGGAACGCGGGGCTAGCAGACCCTATGAAGGGGGGTGTAAAATGCATTCGACGCTCCGGTTGCACCGTGACGAGAGGGTGAATCGTTAACGGGTTTACATGGTGAGCTATCTGTATCATGCTCGGAGAAATGTTCTCGTGAGAAAATGTATAGATTTTTCGAAAGCGTGCGGTTCGGTAGTACGTATTCAACAGTGGCAAATATGTCAGTACGGTAGGTAACTTTGTTTCGAGATTATGATATAGGTACAGCTAAAAAGAACAGAAAACCAATAAGGTAACGATTGCTTAACCCTATCCGAAGCAACTGCGATTAGAGTTTAGTTGTCTCGCGGACGGGATGAAAAGGGTTTAATATAAATGTTCGCCACATTTTGGCTGTCTAGCGGCAGCTAAATATATTGGTAATACTCAGCATGACGCAAAGCCATCGCGGTGTTTATATAGCGTGAACTACAAATCCCAATACATAAAACGTCGTATTCGAAACCGTTCGTGTAAGCAACGATCTTCCTCTCGTTTTGTGTTTCTCTCTTTTCTTGATCTCCGATTCAGATTGCGCGACCATAGCTGTGTGATAATGCTTGTAACATGGCAAAGCGCTACTGTTTGGCAATTACTGGCTTAAGAAGGTTAGTAGGACAAGGATTTTGCCATCAAAAACGGAAGGCGTTATTTAGCGCGGGGAAAACTTGGTGTTATTAAGCAACTTATACATAATTATGAACTAAATTAGATGCAGAGTCGACAAAACGGACCTCGTTTAAACCGCATCCGTTCGATCTAGTTTGTTGTTCAAGACCAAGATAACAGACTAAATTTAATCAATACATGATAATTTTTTCTCTTATACTTTATATATTATAGAAATGCAAACCGCTTTTGATGAATTTTGACCTTTGGAATGATTCTTCGTTCACTTAAAGTCCACAAAAAACAACTCAGTTTACCAAAAAAATGGAACTTCCGGCTTTTGTTCAATAAAAAAAAATCACCGTTCGGCGTGTGGACGTGGGATTTTTTTTTATAGATGTAAGCCATAGCAACATGGCTATACGAACATTCACTGCTGTGGGCACTGACAGAAAAATTCTAAATGCGGATGATAGTGTTTAGTTGACAATGGCGATATATTTTTTTGCTAAGAATTAAAAATAAACTAGGTAAACGCTATAGACGTCTCTTTATTTGATCACAACTTATCGTGCAATGTGTGCTTTTCGCAAGAAGACAAGAAATTGTTAGGAAAACAGTGCGCTCATTTCTACCTCAGGATCAGCAATAGTTATGTTAATGTCAGCTCTGCTCTTCGATGTTCGTGAGTCGAAAGTTACCAGGGTCGAAAAGTGGCGGTAAATCGTAGACGTTGCCAGTTCTCCTAAAATTATATATATATATGCTTCCTATACTGTATTAATTAGTAACTCTACTGTATGAGTTAGTGGAGCAAAAGCAAGCTTTATCTAATCTTACTGGTAGGCCTCGTAGCAGGCGCGTACACCCTTAATTTAGGTAGTTTAGTAGTTAATAAATAGGTAGTGATAATTTAGGTAGGGGGATCCTCAAGCAGCGGGAAAAAAAAAAAAAACGACAGGATAAGAAAAGCTGACGCGTCCGTGGGAACCCCTTCTACTTAGAAAATATCAATTGCAAGTTACAATGTGAACCATTTTAGTGTGGGAAATACTAGATAAAAATGCGCTTGTTAGGGATGTTTATTTAGTAATTAGTTGAACACTTTAATCAAAATTATTATGAGTTTATCAAAAACAGTTATTAGATAACTGTTAATAATAAACTCTTCATTGTAATTGTTTCGGATTTATCGTTGTTCAGGTATCAGATATTTTATTCGTTGAATCAATTAACGTATTTCAGAGTAGATACTAACCGTAATCGAATGCTCAACGGCGATATCGGATTTAATATTCGGTAATATTCGAAATAGACTACTTAAAAGGTAAATGTGGCATTATTGAGTAAGACCTTTAGGCGGCATGATTATAGTTAATTGTCTATAAGAGCTTGTAAATTACAAGTTGTATCTTTTGTAGTGGTTGTTAATTGACATTGCGTCGCTCCTATAAATCGCTCCAAGTAGTAGACATAAGGATGCGAAACTTCATACGAAGTTTCGAGATTAAACGGCATTTACTATACATATAACTCGTTTCATGTCGTTAGGAATAAATATAGGAGTATACGATAGTGTGGTCGAACATACGTCAAACAAGGTGTATATCTATGTATACCAACTGAAAAGATATTCAAAAGCGTCACAGCTTGGAGCCAGATTAACTTGCTGGTTTAACCCGTACTTAGGTCGCATGCGTTTCTTCCTCACACATCGATACTGTTTAGTTTATAAAAGCTTATATCAATCAAGCTTAGTTTATATCAATCGGATGGCTTGAGTATGTCTGGACAACCTTTGATGTCTGAACATTAATGTGCGTAAAAATTGTAGTTAGACCTTCCAGTTAAGATAATTAAGCAATCGTACGATTTGTCCATGCTCACTCTGACCAAAAAGCAATCAATTCCAAGTGCGTTCAAGTTCTTCCGAGGTATTGCAACTATGAGACAGTCGATGATGTCCTGACAGGAGTTCCGTCAAGGCTGAAAACGCCTACATTCGCTTTGTTCCTTACATCGGTGCAACTGCTGTGAGTCATAGGTATATATGTAATTGGCGGGCTTCGAAGCGGAATCTAAATAATCATCACCATCTGGAGTTCTGCTGTGAGCGTGAAAGTATTTCTGAATTTTGAAAGGGTCTCAACTTTTCCTTAAGGACACCAGACCGTTTCTTCACCGCACCAGCAGGCGTGCCAGAGGTCAGAAGGAGATTCTGCTCCTAATAGCTGTCGGTGATAAGACAATCGAGGCAGATCCTGAAATAGTCCCTTAAAGTAATTTTCATCGGCGCCCATGGTTTTTGTCGAAATGAACATTTCGGATAACACGCACATCCTGAAAGATTTCCTCCAATTTTCAGCAATGATCACAAAACTATGGATGAAACCTTGGCGAGCTTTTACTAAATGCAGTTTTGCACCCGACAGAGCACCAACTTATCCTCACAGACAATCATGACAATTCGTACTAAAACCGCTCCACTCTATTTTCACATAGTTGGATTAAGAGGCTCAGACTTTTTATATTGTTTACCTAAAGCTAAATCATTTGCATATTTGTAATAAATGGAAATCAAAATGTAGCATTAATACCTTAAAAGCTGGGTAGGCATTAGTTAGATTTTATGCGCTTTCAGTAGAACTAGGCCCAACATGAGTCCTATGAAAACGGGCCGATAAAGTTTGAGAGAAACCGACGGCCTGCCCCCTAAGGCGCACCCTTTTTCACTCCCGCGTTTACGTAAACAATTTTTCCTATCTCGGGAAGCTTTTTTCACTCAGAGGTAGAATCTTTTGATCGCATGCTACAAGGAGGTGCAGTAAAGCAATAATAGCAATGTCTAGCACTAGGAATCGTTGCTTTCTCCCAGTGTCTACTACTCGTCACATTTACTCGGTCTATTACTTGATCTCAATTGGCGCAAGTCATTCTTGCACCCAGTCGTGCTGTATGTTACAATTTAATAAATGTTTACGTTCAGGCACACTTCCAGCGCAGTGCAGAAAGTGATGTTTGAAGGAAAAAGCGGTCCAAACGTACCGCGATAGAACGAACATGAACATTTATTATAAGCTATTCTACGGCTTGCTAATTTTAAATTTAAATAGCTACTTGGAAGGTTTCAACGGACCTAAAAATACGTCCCACAGAAACGGTGTGTAGGACACTGTAGCCGACGTCGAGTGAACACTAGTTGCGTTGGATTTTAAGGCAGTCTTTCCTTCGGTGCCAAAAGGTAAGATTATGCTCACGTTGATTGAGATCGATGTCCCTGTAAATATGTTCTACAAAGGAAAAAATAACCATGCGGAACGGCCGAACTTTTATACAGACAACCTAGGGGGACAACTTCTCCTCCATCGTACTGAAGGGCCTTCTTTGTCAAGTAAGATGACTAAGGACATTAGCTGAAGTCATTTTGTACATAGATGACATAGTGATATACGGGTGAAAAAGGTTTCATGTGCAACCAACTCTAGCCGGTTCCACGCGGTGCTCACGAATTAAGGATTGGCCAAAAACTTGTACTCACCAGGTCGCCTCTTCTTAATGTGGATTGGCTTCCGTACTTGCGGTTGCTCTGCTCCGCGAGCGGTAGGAGCTCTCACTGCTCACGTCACCGAAAGGTGCAGGAAGCCAGTATCGGCTACGTGAGCGATCAGATCGACTCATTGCTTGCCCCTCGCAACCCTTCTCAGCTTGTTCGACCTCTTTCGAAGATCTCGCACGGGGGCACCTAGAACAAGTGAATCCCGTTAAAACCTTTTCCCTTAAAAGACACAGAACGAGCGCCTTGCATATTTCCTAAACCAGCTCGCCATTGCTGTCCGAGGATCTACATCGTCGCTTTCAACACTTGGCAACGGAAACCTTGAAAACCTTTAGGGTAAGAGATTAAAAATTCGCAAAGATCCATGGAGATTTCTTTTCGTCGCGGGTGCGACAAGGAACGACGAGTGAAAAAGGACAAATCAAAGAATTCGAGATGCCGGGAAAATAGTGATATATCATGCCGCTCGTTGCCACCTGGTACCATTCTTAAGTTTATTTTGCGAACTCGACAAGATTCGTGTAACTGATATGACGCCTAAATGTTTTAATGGAACCTTATACTCACTCTGATCTTGGGATACCTGCATATATAACGTATTTGACTGTAAATGCAATCTGTAAAATAACAGCCAAGAAATAGGACTTTTTTCCGGAATACGACTAAGTTGGCTCAGGCTCAGAATCTTCAAAATGTTCAAATGTGACACGAAATCGGCCAGCCTAATTGGCAGCCATGTTTAACTAAACACGAAATTAAAAGAAATAGATGGAAGCTATGCGTTCATTTCGCTTCCATTACGGACATGTGCCATTTCGAACTTCCATCAACTTAATAAGTTGTGCATATGCACTAAGTGCGAACATTAGTATGATAGATACCGCGCTTTTCCAGTGTCTCTACATGACCCCACTAGAAAATCTAGCATTTAAGACATATTGTTTTTTATTTTCCTCGCATCATCCGTAGAGACTTGCCGTGATCTTGGCATAGATCTCTAGCCGTTTAGATTAGAGATTTCACAGTTCATGCAACAAAAACACACTGTGGGTATCCGCGAATAGGATCTGCAACAACATTTTCAATACTTCATATTGAACAAGTTTACGTAGCTTTATAGGCGCTTATTTATACCAGAGTTATGATTAGTTATAAAAATAATATTTTTTTTCTCTTACACAGGATCTATTGTATTGTTTTTGATTAGTTTTCTTTTACTACGAACTTCAAGTTGTTTGCATCCGTAATTCTTCATCGCATCTTGTGTAATAAGTAATAGCGCACTCGGGGGCAGACGCGTACAGCGCGTTAACTAAGAGAAGATGCGTTTCTATTAGTGTTTATATATGAGCGTTTAAAAAGCTCGTATATTATCGTCGTTTTTCCAACTGATATACTACTTTGCCTTGTTTTAGCAATATGTCGTCTGTGGTGCTAAATCTGGTCAGGGCGTGACTTAAATAAATCAACGAAATGATGAGCGTTGATTTGCCAGAAGCCCTGCAGTGCTCGAAATTTTCAATTCCATTTAATTTTTAACTTTTTTTTTTTTTTTTTTTAATTTAAACACAAGCTCAAAGGCCGAGTCGGTCTGAAAGCACTGAAATCAACCAGGAATCACACAACAACACATCTATCCTATTATAAATTGACTATACGCGGTGCTCAACAAATCGTAGTGACTTTGATGGGATTATTTTGTGCTTTTATATACAGCGGATAGAAAGTGGCGAGGAATCCAGAATTAATCTGTGATGATAGCTCAGGACGTTTCCACGTAATGCCTATGCACGGTTAACGGTCACTTCTAATCCGGAAAACTGACGGTGTCGTACATCCGTTAAATAGCTTGCAGTATATATAATTATGAAATAATGTCAATTCCATTAAAAAGGCTCGATTTTCGAGTATCCTGATGATAGACGATCCGAGTGACATCGTGGTGGACCGTTGATATCATATTAAAACTCTGATCCAAATCACAGTAGCTATCGCTTCGTATAGATCGCTTATAGAACTATCGCTTCAAGAAGTAATCTATCAAAATGCAGAAGTATGTTACAGGAAAAACTCTTAGCCCGAAGACGACGAGGCCGTATGAAGTAAAGCCAGCATAGTACGTTGGACGTCATCTAAGGAAATGTCTACCTCGATTTAACATTTGTTCAAATGTTAAGTTGTGAATGGACTTAACTGAACCATTGTTTCAACAAGATTGATTGAGTTGTGCGCCAGATTGGTGGGGTATAGCTAGGTTCAATAAGAAAACAGTATTATTTTATAATGTTTACAGAAAGGCTAAGCGTATCATAGCTACGCGCGATATTTGCCAGTTCCCTTGTAAGATCACAGATATATACGTTAAGCGAAGCTTTGCAGATCTGTTTTGTACAGGTCGGGTAGCCAATAAAACAAATGGCATGCAACCTGTTTTCTGAGACGCTGCTACGCAGAGGCAGTATATTAATCTAGAGGATAACGTAAATCGCCAAGCCCTGTACAGTTCCACGTGTTACTTAGTGGTCATTGACGAATGGGTTACCAGTGTCGATAGTTGAGCAGCAAATACATTTGAGCCGATCGCAAGCGACAATAAAATGATTATAAAAAGACACGAAAGATGGTGTCAGTGCCCTTCGCGACATCAACTAATGTTACAACGAAGGCGCTTCCTCTACCTCAGCAACAGGTGATGCACGTGTAAATATCGCAGAAAGCACGACCGTTCAAGCGCTGGCAGAGAATGTCATACTGCGAGTTTTGCTTAAAAAGGGAAGCACCAAGCTGGCACACTTTGCAGAACGCTGGAGTACCGCGTTTACCCTTACGAGGCCTTAAGCGATGGTGGAAAAATAGAAGCCTCAAGAACTATCGACTGGGGAATTATATGCAATGTCCGCCAGAAAATTTTTATGGAACACCACATGTGAGCGTAGTCAAATCCGATTCATAGATACACCAAGTGATAAAGTTACGTATTATGAGAGAAACTGAGGGTAAGACAAAGGGGTCGTCCTGCGAGGGGCGTTGCAGCATTCGATACAGCCCAGCTATATTTAACGGTCTTACTTTCAATGGAGCCATAAATAATATTAAAAATAGTAAACGGTCGTTACTGAAGGTACCAAAGACTTTACGGTTCTTGCTTTAACTACAGCAGTGTTGGGGTGAGTGGACCACCGAACTAAGGATGGCCTACCTATATATGAATGATCAGCCTCAACTTGTCTGGCCAGTTTGAACGTCACTATACTCCCCACCCCTTAACATGTCCAAAATTGATTCCGTGCAGCTACCCCAATATCCCCTCGTAGTTCGTGTATTAATTATAAGAGATTTCAGTCCTTATTTTGGCCTTCTGGCTTTAGGGTATGAACACCTTTTGGAAACGCCCCCTTTCAGACTTTAGTACGTTTCCTTGCCTAAACAGCGATAGGTCCTCCTAAGCCTGCCGTTATCGCAATGTGTTGCGCGTTGAAACTTATAAAGATTCGCACCGACTGTACAAGCTGCTTGCGAAGTACGCGGAAAAGCAAATGGAGAAATAGGCGGAACACAGTTTAACTTGTAAAAGTAGAATTATAGCTGAAAAAGGACGCCCACTGTAGAGAGGGTAGCATCGTCTGTCGCGATAGTACAAGTAGTCTAAATAGCTAAAAAAAAACAACTTCGACACTAACAGCTACCCCAATAAAAAAAAGCCCGCGGTCGCTAACGCAAGCGAGAAATTGCGCTCAAATCGTTTCAGATCATAAAAACTTAGCAGACTCAACTTCTTAAAAGAACCATATATCAACGTGCGATATAATAATTGAAGTTGTACCGGTCTAAAACTGGTGTGCAAATCCATTGCTGTCATCATGGGTACCATTAGTAATACTAATTATATAATACGAATAATATGAATTTGTATCCTTAAGAGTAAACGAAATTGATAATTTCACTTGTGCTTAACATATTTCTAGCTGCTCGATTGACATGCTCCTGTTGTATTCATACCCTTGAGAAGAACCCAAATTTTCAACAGGTATTAAACCGTACCGGTCAACCACAATATTAAATACTACTGTATTTAGGCTTTATATACATTAGAACGCTCGATCTATTTTGGTAATTCCGTGCTTGTTCGAAGTCTTTCTCCCGAGTGCCATAGTCGGCGCTGCGTTACATAGGTCAGGCAGAGAGGTTAATGCTAGTTAATAGGGAATTAATTTGTCCTCCCTAACTTCGTTGCATATTGAGATATTAACGCTCGTGGGCGAGGCAAAGCCCCCCGGAGTGAATCTTCCTTGAGCAATGCTTCCCAGCTCCTCCTGTCGACAAAGTAGAACATAGAACTGAGAGACCTATCGCTGTCGGATGCAACATTAGATCTCCTTCAATAGCAGATACTGAACGAGCTGCTTTGTCGGCTAAGTTAGCTCGACTGACCTAAACATATTCTGCTCTGATAGTGCATACAAACCTCCTTTCCTGTACTTCAAGCAGACACTTCATTGAGGAATTCACGTTGAATGTGTGGCCTCGTCATTTTGGGTCGCTTACTGCCCGTTCGCTCCCCTTTTGCTGCCCACCAGCTTATGCAGCCACTGCTAAAAGCTCACCCACTGCACTCACAGTCGCGTTCGAAATGGAACCACTCTATTATACTAAACCTAGTCTTTGTCCCTTGGCCATCGCGTTCTACGCGGACCGCTGGCAGTTTCCATCCACGATCAGGTGCAAAGCATCAGTTGAAATCACCCTCAAACGTTGTATCTGAGGTGAAACAAAGTGGTCTCGCCACGATGAACAGAGGTCACAAAAGCTTGTATCATTTGAAGTTACCAAAAATTTCGCAGCAGAAAAAAATACTATCTGCGCGACAATTTTAAGGTAGTGTTGAATTAGGTTCGTAGAACCGACGCTGTCTCCTGTGATGCAATGCTTGGAGTAATAGGCACTCTGACTCTGGGACAGATAACGAGTTAGATTTAGCTAATTTGCTAGGAACACAAGCTGTTTTACATCTTGGTATTGCTAGCGAAAACATATATTGAGAAGTAAGCTAACAATGCTCTATCAGTAGCAGCTGATAGCAATTTTATACATACTACTAACGCTTAAAAAATCAATACATACAGAGAAATACATCGCTAAACGTACCAGCTCATCGTATGAATGTTTGTGCATAGAGGATGCTAAACGTACTAGTCATCCTGTCATGTTTGAAGGCTTAATTTTTTTCGGCATAGAACCTTGGCGTAGGACATCTCATACAAATGCTCCTCAGACTGTTTTTTTGTATTATCGATAACCGTTAGGCTTCAGTGCACCATTAACTATTGCTAATAAAATACACAACTATATAGCAGTTATATTTCTATGAAGAAGCGAAAATACCCAGAACCAGAGGACGGGGGGCATTCGACCATTAACTGAGCGATCGTTATCAATAGATGCAATTAAAAGCTACAGTGAGTTACGTGAACTTTTAATGTCGCCGATGGCTTAGCTTATTTTCAAGAATGGAACGA